GGTGGGTGGATGAGTGAATGGGCCGGCTGATGGATGGATAGATGGGGAGGTGGCTGGGTGGGTGGGTGCGTAAAGGATAGATGAAGGGATGGGTGGGTGGCTGGATGAGTGGACAGACACCTGGGTGGATGGGTGGGTGGATGGATGGATGGATGGATGGATGGATGGATGGATGGATGGATGGATGGGTGGATGGGTGGATGAGCAGATAGCTGGGTTAGATTTAGAGCTAGGGTTTGGGTTGAGGTCAGGGCTAGCCGCATTCGGTTTCGGGTTAGGGTTGGGCTTAGGTTGAGCTCAGGGCCAGTGCTGAGGTTCGTATTAAGGTTACGACTCAGGTTATAGGTAAGATTAGGTGCGGCCTCTGGTTTGAGGCCAGGATTAGGGGTAAGGGTCAGGTTGGAACAGTTTAAAAGTGTACGAGGCCGTGTCCTTCCTCGAGGCCTCCAGGCCGTGTTCCTGCTCCTTCAAATCTCTCTGACGTCTCTGACTTCTACAGCTGAGTAGGGATTTTATTTTTATTTCTTATTTTTGATTCTTTTGGTTAATCCCCACTCGAGGATATTTTTTCCATTGATTTTTTTTTTTTTTTTAGAGGGAGTGGAAGGAACATTGATGTGAGAGAGACACAAAGATTGGTTGCCTCCGACACATGCCCCAACCAGGGCCTGGGATCGAATCTGTGACCTAGGTACGTGCCCTTGACTGGGATGGAACCCGCGACCCTTCAGTCCCGGGCCAGGGTGCTCGGTGGTTAGAGCATCGGCCAGGACACCAAAGGGTCAAGGGTTCGATTCCCAGTCAAGGGCACGTGCCTGGATTGCAGGTTGATCCAGGGCCCTGGATGCGGCTAGTGGGGGAGGCAACCAATGGATGTGTCTCTCTCACATCGATCTTTCTCTCTCTCTCTCTCCCCCTCCGTCCTTTACAGTCTCCNGGCCTGGGATTGAATCTGCGACCTAGGAATGTGCCCTTGACTGGGATGGAACCCGCCACCCTTCAGTCCCGGGCCAGTGTGCTCGGTGGTTAGAGCATCGGCCGGGACACCAAAGGGTCTAGGGTTCGATTCCCAGTCAAGGGCACGTGCCTGGATTGCAGGTTCGATCCAGGGCCTTGGATGCGGCTCGTGGGGGAGGCAACCAATGAATGTGTCTCTCTCACATTGATGTTTCTCTCTCTCTCCCCCTCCCTCCTTTACAGTCTCTAAAAAAATTTTTTAAAAGTCCTACTTGTCTCTGTGAACAGTGTGTGAATAGGACCACACAAGGCCCATATAGCAGACGCCCAGAAATGCCCCGGGAGCCCTTTTCTGTTTAAAACTTGACTTGAAATGGGGTCCCCTTACCCACCCTCCCCTCTCTGATAGTAATGCCTGGGCACCTGTGTTTAATATCGGAGGGTCGCTGTTCTTGTTTTCCGAGCCTACATTTTCAGTTCGGGGACTTCCGTGACATCTTAGGAGCATCATAAGCACACGTCTGGTGCAGGATCCGGCATAATGTGGGAGCTTAATCAATTATAATTGGCCAATTCATAATTCAGTTATGTAACCATATAAGAATATATTATATAAGGATATAGTATATANAATTGTAATTGGCCAATTCATAATTCAATTATGTAACCATATAAGAATATGTTATATAAGGATATACTATATAAATATATAAACTTATATTAAGTATTATGTGTAAACTGTAACATTTTCATTTTTAAATTTTATGTTATTGAAAATAAATAGCACATAGAACATGACAATAGGGAACACTTAAACTAGCATATGTTTAAACTGTATTATGCTCTTCTATATAAACACATAAGAATGTAATGCAACCTGGAGGGAAATGTCTAATCTAGACAATCAAGACGTAATAAATAATTAAAGTAATTAATAAATGCTTGGTTCTATAGTAAATAATTTAAGTGCTATAGCTGCATTAGCGATGATGGATAACCAATCACCATATGTAATAAANTAGCATATGTTTAAACTGCATTATGCTCTTCTATATAAACACATAAGAATGTAATGCAACCTGGAGGGAAATGTCTAATCTAGACAATCAAGACGTAATAAATAATTAAAGTAATTAATAAATGCTTGGTTCTATAGTAAATAATTTAAGTGCTATAGCTGCATTAGCGATGATGGATAACCAATCACCATATGTAATAAATGAAGTAATTCACAGGTGCATGGCTAGGTAATAAATATGTATGATTAGATTGTAGGATGTATGGTAAACTAACATGCATAATAAATAAACAAAGGAGTGGATAATAAAGAATTTGCAGCGAATGCATATTGCTGTATTATACACGATTATCATCATAATTTAGGTGCCTGCGCCTTAAAGCGGACGGGCGCCCACTCCGGCCGCCGCCCGCACTTGGGGGCAGGTGTTCGCTCGACCCTGGGGGAGGCGGGGCGCACTCGCGCACGCGCAGTGCAGAGCCGGGTCCGGCCCGNGGGGGGAGTGGGTGTCCTGGGGGAAAGGGGCTGTCCTGGGGGGAGTGGGTGTCCTGGGGGAAAGGGGCTGTCCTGGGGGGAGTGGGTGTCCTGGGGGAAAGGGGCTGTCCTGGGGGGAGTGGGTGTCCTGGGGGAAAGGGGCTGTCCTGGGGGGAGTGGGTGTCCTGGGGGAAAGGGGCTGTCCTGGGGGGAGTGGGTGTCCTGGGGGAAAGGGGCTGTCCTGGGGGGAGTGGGTGTCCTGGGGGAAAGGGGCTGTCCTGGGGGGAGTGGGTGTCCTGGGGGAAAGGGGCTGTCCTGGGGGGAGTGGGTGTCCTGGGGGAAAGGGGCTGTCCTGGGGGGAGTGGGTGTCCTGGGGGAAAGGGGCTGTCCTGGGGGGAGTGGGTGTCCTGGGGGAAAGGGGCTGTCCTGGGGGGAGTGGGTGTCCTGGGGGAAAGGGGCTGTCCTGGGGGGAGTGGGTGTCCTGGGGGAAAGGGGCTGTCCTGGGGGGAGTGGGTGTCCTGGGGGAAAGGGGCTGTCCTGGGGGGAGTGGGTGTCCTGGGGGAAAGGGGCTGTCCTGGGGGGAGTGGGTGTCCTGGGGGAAAGGGGCTGTCCTGGGGGGAGTGGGTGTCCTGGGGGAAAGGGGCTGTCCTGGGGGGAGTGGGTGTCCTGGGGGAAAGGGGCTGTCCTGGGGGGAGTGGGTGTCCTGGGGGAAAGGGGCTGTCCTGGGGGGAGTGGGTGTCCTGGGGGAAAGGGGCTGTCCTGGGGGGAGTGGGTGTCCTGGGGGAAAGGGGCTGTCCTGGGGGGAGTGGGTGTCCTGGGGGAAAGGGGCTGTCCTGGGGGGAGTGGGTGTCCTGGGGGAAAGGGGCTGTCCTGGGGGGAGTGGGTGTCCTGGGGGAAAGGGGCTGTCCTGGGGGGAGTGGGTGTCCTGGGGGAAAGGGGCTGTCCTGGGGGGAGTGGGTGTCCTGGGGGAAAGGGGCTGTCCTGGGGGGAGTGGGTGTCCTGGGGGAAAGGGGCTGTCCTGGGGGGAGTGGGTGTCCTGGGGGAAAGGGGCTGTCCTGGGGGGAGTGGGTGTCCTGGGGGAAAGGGGCTGTCCTGGGGGGAGTGGGTGTCCTGGGGGAAAGGGGCTGTCCTGGGGGGAGTGGGTGTCCTGGGGGAAAGGGGCTGTCCTGGGGGGAGTGGGTGTCCTGGGGGAAAGGGGCTGTCCTGGGGGGAGTGGGTGTCCTGGGGGAAAGGGGCTGTCCTGGGGGGAGTGGGTGTCCTGGGGGAAAGGGGCTGTCCTGGGGGGAGTGGGTGTCCTGGGGGAAAGGGGCTGTCCTGGGGGGAGTGGGTGTCCTGGGGGAAAGGGGCTGTCCTGGGGGGAGTGGGTGTCCTGGGGGAAAGAGGCCGTCCTGGGGGCAGGTCTGGGCTCTCAGGCTAGGCTCTAGCCCCCACCCACCCTTCCAGCTGGCTCTGCATCCTGCTCAGACACTCCCGCTTTGGGGCCCTGCCACCCCCCCCACCTGTGTCTCAGGACTTGTGCCTGGAACTGTCCCAGCTGAACTGGTGGGTGAGCAGAGCTGGTGGGCACTTGGCTGGACAGGCCCCACCCCCCACCGGGTTGTGTGGGTGTCTGATGCCAAGCTCTTGGCTGGAGCCTGGCCTTCCCACGACTCGTCAGACCAGTAGGGGGGACCAGCCGCAGAGGAGGTGGCGGGGAAGCCACAGGTGGCTCTGGTTCTAGCACTTTCAGCTCTCACTTGGGGAAAGAGGAACATTGTTTTATCAGCGTGAAACCTCCTGTTTCTTCTGTGCAAACACCAGGCTGCCTCCTCCAAGACCCTCCCAGGTGCCTGGAGCTGAGCTCTGCCTGTTCTCCAGCAAGTTGCTTGTAGTTTTCTGGGGAGCTAGGCGGACCCTGGTTTGCCCCTCCCCCAGCTGCTGCACGAGGGTGGGGAGCTGGCCCTGGGACAGCTGCTTCTGGGTCCTGGGTGCCAGTCAGCGCAGATGGAAGTTCGGACGCTGAGCTGTTCTTAAAAGTGTTTGTCCATCCAGGTCTTTTTTCCCTTTAGTGTGATCTGATGGTTTACAACCAGCAGCCACTTGGGTGATGAGGGCTTTTATTGAGGTTGACGCCACTTTCTCTTCCCTGGGCCTCGAGTACTGACCATCCCTTGTGTTTGTCCCAGGCCCAAGGTCCCGGCTATGGCAGCGGCTACCATAGTGCACGACACGTCTGAGGCGGTGGAACTGTGCCCTCTCTACGGCCTCTACCTGAAGCCCATCACCAAGATGACCATCAGCGTGGCCCTCCCGCAGCTGAAGCAGCCGGGGAAGTCCATCTCCAACTGGGAGGTGATGGAGAGGCTGAAGGGCATGGTGCACAACCACCAGTTCTCCACGCTACGCATCTCCAAGAGCACCATGGACTTCATCCGCTTCGAGGGCGAGGTGGAGAACAGGAGCATGGTCAAGTCTTTCCTGGCCTGCCTGGACGGCAAGACCATCAAGCTCAGCGGCTTCTCCGACATCCTCAAGGTGCGGGCCGCCGAGTTCAAGATCGACTTCCCCACCCGCCACGACTGGGACTCTTTCTTCCGGGACGCCAAGGACATGAATGAGACGCTGCCCGGAGAGCGGCCGGACACTATCCACCTGGAGGGGCTGCCCTGCAAGTGGTTCGCCCTGAAGGAGTCGGGCTCCGAAAAGCCCAGTGAGGATGTCCTAGTCAAGGTGTTTGAGAAGTTTGGGGAGATCCGGAACGTGGACATCCCCATGCTGGACCCCTACCGGGAGGAGATGACTGGGCGCAACTTCCATACCTTCAGTTTCGGGGGCCACTTGAACTTCGAGGCGTATGTCCAGTACTGTGAATACGCCGGCTTCATCCAGGCCATGAGCGCCCTGCGTGGGATGAAGCTCATGTACAAGGGGGAGGACGGCAAAGCCGTGGCCTGCAACATCAAGGTGAGACTGGGCTTCCTGCTGGACGGCGGCCACCCTCCGGCCTGTGCAGAGTAAGGGGAAGACATCACAACAGATGTGTGATCTGTAGAATTTCAGGTGCAGGCACAGATGAGCAACCCCCCGCNTCCGGCCTGTGCAGAGTAAGGGGAAGACATCACAACAGATGTGTGATCTGTAGAATTTCAGGTGCAGGCACAGATGAGCAACCCCCCCCCCANGGGGAAGACATCACAACAGATGTGTGATCTGTAGAATTTCAGGTGCAGGCACAGATGAGCAACCCCCCGCCACACACACACTGTGGATTTTGCCCAAGACTATTTTTTCCATTGATTTTTGAGGTGGGGGGGAATCAGTTGGTTGCCTCTGGCTCATGCCCCAACCAGGGCAGGACGAACCTGCAACCCAGGGACACACCCTTAACTGGGAATCAGACCCCCAACCTTTTGGTCATCTGGTGGTTGGGTTAAACACTGGCCAAACGGAAGTCATATCTTTAGCAACACGTGCGACGGCCAAGTGTATGAATGTAGTTTTGGGGTCATCTGAAAGGAATTCTGTCCTGAAAGAGCTGGGACAGCTTGGTGGCTCCCAAACCCCCTGTTTTAAAGGAGGCAGGGCCTCTGTTCTATTGGTGTGTACTGTGTCCTCAGTTTGTGGTGACAAGGACACCAGCCTCCTAGAGGAGTCAGGTTTTTGTGGCTGCTGGACAGCTTGCACCTATTCGTAGAGGCACAGGCCCTGTGGTGGGTGGGTCCTGGGCATGGTTGGTGGGACAGTGGGGCTGCTGGGAGCAGAAGGGGAGAATTGTCTCGTTAATGGGGCAACTTTTTTATTCTTAGTAAGCAAGGCAAAGGCAAGGTAACGTCCCAGGGCGAGTTCATCCTCTGTGATTGAATCGGGACTTCACGGGGTGGGGGGCTCAGTCTGGACCCAGAAACTGGGATTCCAGCATATGTCCTGGGTCTGGCTGGCTCCTGAGTGGACAGCGCCCTGTACCTGTGGTCATCTGAAGGACTCAATGATGCCTCTTGTGTGTGCATGCCTGCCTGTGGGGGTCATGCTCCTCCCAGCTAGGAGATGGTGCCATCGGTCTCTCCACTTGGCACTGTATTTTGTTCTGAAGGTCTCTTTCGATTCAACCAAACATCTAAGCGATGCCTCCATCAAGAAGCGGCAGCTGGAGAGACAGAAACTGCAGGAGCTGGAGCAGCAGCGGGAGGAACAGAAGCGGCGAGAGAAGGAAGCCGAGGAGCGACAGAGGGCCGAGGAGAGGTGGGCTGTGTGTGTGCTTGGGGCCTTGGGAGCCATGCCTGACTCATGTGTGCATTTGTGTACTTGTGCTCACATGCCACGGCTGCTGGGGACTTGGTACAAAGTGCGAGCACCTTTGTTCCCACCCCAAAATTTATTTCCACTTGAGACAGGGCCTGTGCGGGTCCCACGACTGCACCTGCCCTGCCCTCCAGAGCATGTCAGTCACGCGCCTCTGTGTGTCCTGCTGAAGCCAGCGAATCGGCCTGGCTGTTGTGTGTTCTGCATTTGGTTGAAGCTACGCTCACAAAACGATTATAGAGACCTGATGGAGTGGCCCGTTTTAATAAAAAACAGTTCCAGTGGAGAGGCCTATAACTGCTTCAGATGTCAGGAGGGCAACTCAGGTCACAATTTACCCCCTTTTGCAGTTTTTATGGTTGTTGTTATAAAAGTAACATAACCAAGGATATTTCCCCAGTTTTGGGAAGCAGAGAAGTTCTGCGTATGCCGTCCCTGCCGCTGTGCTCTTGGAGTTTCCAGCACACGTGTGTGTGCCTCTGCTTTGTGTTTGCTGAAGTCCCGTCTCAGACACGGGGTGGGGGGATGTTTGTGGGAGTCACTCCTGACTTTCAGTTTATCTCTCCGAGGAACTGACATAACTGTCTCCCACTGTGGGTCCTTGTTTTCTCCTCTGGTCTTCCTTGGGTCAGCTGTGCAGCCATGAGCATATGTGTGTCCTGAGCCGTTTCCGTCTTTGCCTCAGAGCCCTGGTCCAGCTTGTGGTTCCAGACCAAGCTGTTGTCGTATGAACCCCACACCATGATTTGGGGAGGCCAGACTACCTGTGGATGACAGGGAGGGTGTGGGTCAGGTAGGAGAGGCCCTGAGCAGTCCTGCGTCTGAGCCGTGGAGCCAGGTCACCTCTGCACAGAGCGGGACGCCTGGGGAGCATGAGACCAGTTTGTGGTGGGGCAGCTGTCCTCAGGGCTTTGCCTGGAGGGAAGGAGACGGATGGTACACTTTGTAAAACATCAGCTCTTGGGCAGAGGAGGGAAAGCCCAGGCAGGCAGCCTAGTCGAGACACATCCTGCAGCGTGAAGACCAGACCAGCCCGTGTCCGGAGTGGGCTTGTCCCCAAGTGTCAACTGTGACCCACAGACTGTGCTGTCCGTCTGCCTAGTTACCCCAGCATTTCACAAAGCAGCTCGGGGGGCCCTTTCCTTGGCCTTTATGGGAGGAAAAAGCAGCTCAGGAAGTGGGACGTGTGGTCCTTGAGGACAGATGTAGGCTCCGTGTGGGGCGGGGGTAGGGTGAGAACAGAGGGTTCTGGGCAGCAGGGTGGTGCTGGTGCTGGGGCCCTGGGGTGACAGGAAGGGGGCCTGTGTTTCATGCCAGCTGGGGCGGGTGTGGGGCTCATGTGCAGGGCTGCGGTCATACCAGGATGGCCCTTGCCCTCTCTTGGCCTGAGCCTGCAGGCTGGACGCAGGGCGCCCCCGCGTCTGCTCCCCATTTCCTCCGTCACAGGTGTGGGTGGTGCAGGTTTAATGAGGAACAGGGTGCAGCTGCAGGCATCATGTTCCTGGAAGGTCATGCTTGGGATTGAGTCGTGTTTATTCGAGCGATGGCCACGTGCAGTCTCCAGGAGGCCATGTGAGCCGCAGCTCCTGAGGTTGTGGGGCCTGCCCTGGAGTGTGGCGGGAAGCCTGGTGCTCGGCCCTCAGCACTCTGCCCGGCTCCTTACTGGTCTGCAGGGCATTTGCACCCTGCTTCCTCACCCCACGCTCCGTCCTCTCTGTGGCAGCTCCCCGGGTCCCTCCTAGGTCTCATCCTGCGTGGAGCACCCCTGTCTTCATGTGAACTGTGTTTGACAATCTTAAACCCAGGGAGTGGACAAGGGTGCTCCAGACGGTCCCTGGGGTCGTAGTCTGTCCTGCTTACCTTTGGTGCTCATATCAGGGATTTCCCCCCAAAAGCATTGTTGGAGCTAAGTTGTTTGGCGTGCTGTGGATTTATTTCAAAGAAAAGTCACCATCTCTAAGTAGCATTTATTTAATGTCCTCCCAGGATGTCCATGAGATGTGGGTGCTGTTGGTCCCTCCATCAGGACACTCCAGAGCGAAGCATCCTCAGCTTTCTGTCATTGGGGGTTTGCGTTTTCTAGAATTTCACACAAACGGGATCGTGCGGTGTGTGATCCTCCTTGTGTGATGTTTCATGGGCGGAATGCTTCCAAAATATTCCTTGTGGCTGTGCAGGACCGAGGTTCCCCGGGTGCCACGCAGCCTCCAAGGGCACCGGGGTGGGGAACTTGTCCCTACTGGGGATCGCTGTGGATTGACCTGGCATTTTAGGAGCTGTTCCTTTCTGAGCTGAAGCCAGTGCCTGACCGCCCTCTCCTGTTGTGTGGCCTCCACCTGTAGCTGGTGCGTGTTGTTCAGAGGGAAACAGTCATGGTGTCAAATCCATGGCTCCCTCTCTACAGGGCTTCAGGTTTGGGTCCCACGTAGCAACACTGTCCCTGGGGAGACTGAAACCCTCACCTTGTGGGTCTGCTGCTTCTTGGGTGTTTTGGCTCAACTGAAATGGATTTGGGGATAAAGAGCTGAAATGGTTAATCGTGTGAACATTTTCCCAGATCTGCTTTTCCCGCTGGCTTAAAATAGCACCTGTGTCGGTACAGGGTGTTCACCTGCCGCCCTGCGTCTGTCTAACGGCCTCCTTGTGTGTTTGCGCAGGAAACAGAAGGAACTGGAAGAAATGGAGAGGGAGCGAAAGAGAGAGGAGAAGCTGCGCAAGAGGGAGCAGAAGCAGAGGGACCGCGAGCTCCGCCGCAACCAGAAGAAGCTGGAGAAGCTGCAGGCGGAGGAGCAGAAAAAGCTGCAGGAGAAGATCAAGCTGGAGGAGCGGAAGCTGCTGCTGGCCCAGCGCAACCTGCAGTCCATCCGGCTGATCGCAGAGCTGCTGAGCCGCGCCAAGGTACCCGGGCCGGGCCACACTCACGGGTGTGCGTGCCTATGTGGCGCGGTGGCTGTAGCCACAGCCAGAGGAATAGGCTTCCCAGAGAGGGTGGCTGTCCTCCGGTGTGGGTAGGGTTCCTGCCTCGTTCCGGATTTCAGACTTAGGGAGCTGGTAGAGCTTTGAGTTAGTGTCACCTGTGTCCAGGCTTCCTGGGTACTGGCTGGATGGCCTTGGGGTGACCAAAGCCAAGGGTCACTGTTTCCTGGAGAGACGGGGAGGAGTGGCAGAGCTCTCAGAGAGTCACTCAGCCCCCC